AACAGAGGGAGACTCCATCTCAAAAATAAAAACAAATAAACAAACAAATATAAATAAACAAACAAACAACCCTGCTGCTCCCCCACAGAATAAAGGTGCCATCAGGGTAATACCTCCTTTTTTGTTCACAGTACTAGGCTCACATATATTTGTTGAGAATAAACAAAATACTTTCTAAATACAAACAAAAAATTACATTATTAGTAGCTTAGGGCAGTGTGGTAGCCACGATAATGCTCTACTCATTTTTCAGCTGACCTTCTGTTATGGGGACCACAGTTGACGGGTCAAGTTGCTACCCTCTGGATCCACCACCACATTTGCACCAAGGCCAGGCTATCTGAGGGCCCTAGCCAATCAATGAGGATGGCAGAGGTACTAGTACAGGCCCATTCTGACCAACTCAGGACTCTGCAAAGCCAGCCCCTTCTTGGAACTGCACTGTACCCAGAAACTTCTTACCTAATCCTCATTCTTTCCTTTTCTCCTTCTGTGAGTGTCAGATGTGCACTGCTGTTTGCGAGTTCGCCCTCTCTGCTCTTGCTCTCTCCATAGTAAATCTCCTGCACATCTAATGTAAGGTGTAATATACTGGTGTCTGCTTCTATGTAGACCCAAATGAACACAATCAGGATTTTCAGAAGCAAATTCTGACGTGAGAATTCATAAGCAAATGATTTGATAAGGTAATGCTCTCAGGGAGAGAGAAAAACAGGACAGGAAAGGGAAACAAGCCAAACAATAGTATAATTTCAGGCAAATCCCTTGCCTAACCCCGCAGGGAAGCTGGGCATGCCCAGGCAAGAAGGGACCCACTATTCCATCTCTCACCTTGAATTATGCTCATTATGTGATCCGAGTCCACCAAACAGGATTTTACAATATATGCTAGATAATGATATATACAGTACCTGTAATATAATAAAGTAGTACTACATATATAATCCAATAATACCTTTGCCTGGCAGATAGCAAGCACTCAATATGTTGAACTAATAGTACAATATCAACAACATGCTTGAAAATTGCCACCATGCTATAAAAATATGCTTTTCCACACAGTTTTCATGAAAATTACTTTTTCCAAGAAAATTTAAGCTCTAGAATATATACAAAGTGTCATCCTTTTCCTTTTCATTGAGATAGAGTTGCACGCTGTTATCCAGGCTAGAATGCAGTGGCGCAATCTCAGCTCACTGCAACCTCTGCCTCCCATGTTCTAGCGAAATCGCCTCCCTTAGCCTTCCAGGTAGCTAGGATTACAGGCAAAGCCACCACGCCCAGCTAATTTTTTGTATTTTTAGTAGAGATAGGGTTTCACCATGTTGGTCAGGCTGGTCTTAAACTCCTGGCCTCAAGCAATCCAGTCACTGCGCCTAGCCATTTTTCCATTTTTATTCTTCTGAGTTCCATTCCTCTCTCAATGCAGGAGTCTCATTCTTTTTATCCAACTTTGCCACTCAAACATCAGTTCTCTTTAAATAAATATTATTTCAATCCACTTAAACTACAAACGAGAGAAAGGAAGAGATGTCTTGGGCCCAAATGCTGAACCAGCCAAACCTGCAATCCAACATTCTAATGTGGCTGACCGGTAAGCATGGAGCAAAAAGTTTCCTTCTGCTTGGACAATAGTCAGGATAAGAACTAGAAGAAAAGCAGATTAAACTGCCTCCTTAGTCCTTTCCTCCCAGATCTCAGCATTCCAAAGGTAAATTGAACTCAAGTAAGGGCACACTAAGGAAAAAAAAGAGGAATGAAGATGTGAATGCCTAGAACTGATCTAAACCATCCATCCTAGATTCTCTCATGCAAGTTATTTCCTTACAGAGAGGCAGTCCTTCATCCATCTTGCCTCACCAGCTAGCATAAAAGGAAAAACAGGTGCTCAATAAATATATAAGTGAAAAGGTTACATGTTATTGGATGTCTGCCCTCTGGATGTTATTACACACTTTAAAAAAAAAAAAAAAAAAAAAAAAAACTCATGTCTTTTTTTTACTTTTTTGAAACGGAGTTTTGCTCTTGTAGCCCAGGCTGGAGTGCAATGGCACAATCTTGGCTCACTGAAACCTCTGCCTCCTGGGGTCAAGCAATTCTCCTGCCTCAGCCTCTGGAGTACCTGGGATTACAGACACCTACCACCACGCCGGGCTAATTTTTGAATTTTTAGTAGAGATGGGGTTTCACCATGTTGGCCAGGCTGGTCTCAAATTCCTGACCTCAGGTGATCCACCTCCTCGACTTCCCAAAGTGCTAGGATTACAGGTGTGAGCCACTGCGTATGTCCTATGTTTTGTTATTAATGACACTATGGTCCTTGCCCTTATCCAATTAATTGTAAGGAAATAATTTCTAAAATATTGAACAGGCCCATGAAGAGTTAAGATTTGAGAAAAATACAGGCTTTCGGATTAGAGCTAGGTTCAAACCGCAAACTCAGCTTTCTCTAACAATGTGACCTAGGGCCAATGAGGCTATATCCTCATTAATATGTAATTAAGTACAACATTGTTTAAAGGAATAGAAGTAACATAAGAAAAGTGCCAGGCCAGGCACAGTGGTTCATGCCTGTAATCCCAGCACTTTGGGAGGCTGAGGCAGGATCACTTGAGCCCAAGAGTTCAAGACCAGCCTAGGCAACATAGCAAAACACAGTCTTACAAAAAAAAAAAAAAAATTAGCTGGGCATGGTGGCACATGCCTCTAGTCCCAACTACTAAGGAGACTGGGACAGGAGGATCACTTGAGCTCAGGAATTTGAGGATACAGTGAGCTATGATCAAGTCACTACACTCCAGTCTGGATGACAGAATGAGATCCTGTCTCTTATGAATAAAAAAATGTATTTCTCTCTAAGTTGTTAGTTGTGTTCCAGATGGTAAATAGTCATCTGTAATATGATAATCCTATTACAACAATTACTATCAGATAAAGTATAATTCTGAATTAAATCATTTTTATTTTGCCAATTTGTAAATTTAATGTATAAAACCAAACCTGATCTTGCTGATTCTTAAAAAGCCTGCAATGTTTCAGGTTGTCATTATTGTTCACATTTCCCACTTGGGAGCAAGATTCTGTAGTTTCTTCTCCTTAGCTTCCTGTATTCTTATTGCATATGTTAACTAAAAATCGTAAGATCTATAGATTTAGAAGACAGGCTGTTTCTTAAAAGAATGCAAGGTGGCCATTGTGCAAGCTGAGAAGCAGACATCCAATCAAGACCATATACACTTTAGAGGAGGAGTTGAGGTAGGAGCTTTAGGCTTAACAGGTTGACTAAACACACATATTCAACAAGTTAGAGGAGCAGCTGTGAATATTTATGATGGTGATCTTGATATATGCATATTAAAAAATGCATATTTAACACACAACCCATATTTACTTTGGGGTGGAAACTTAACATTTAAATGTATTACAATTAGGTCCTATACATTAAAACTTCTTTTCGGGACAGAAAGGTACGGAAGCATATAATCACTGTAAACTGGCCAGAATCAGTCCATGGTCAACAACCTTCTTATCAGAAGAAAGTTACTGAAATCAATGAGAGCTGTAGTTATGGCTGGTGGAACAGTTTGTTAGTGTCCGGTGGTGGATGAGATGCAAATTGTTTTAACGCTGCGAGGCCAGTGTTTGTTTAGCTGCTTTAGAAAACCTTTGCAGCATAGTGAGAACATAGTTTATTCTTTAAGTGTAGGGATGCATGACTTTTTAACCCATTGGCTTAGGTCCTGTTTATAATCTGGTATCATTGCCATGGAGTCAATTCTGTCAGTTTTATGGTTTTTTGTTTGTTTGTTTGTTTTTTGAAACGGAGTTTCACTCTTGTCACCCATACTGGAGTGCAATGGCACTGTGTGGGCTCACTGCAACCTCTGCCTCCCGAGTAGGTGGGATTACAGGTGCGTGCCACTAAGCCCGGCTAATTTTTGTATTTTTAGTAGAGACAGGGCTTCAGCTTCTTTGCCAGGCTGGTCTTGAACTCCTGACCTCAGGTGATCCATTTGCCTCGGTCTCCCATACTGCTGGGATTACAGGTGTGAGCAACCGCGCCTGGCCTCTATTTTAACGTTAAGGCCAGTCACCTGCCTCCGCCAAATCACAAAAGGGAGAGGGTATAACCAGGTCCGTCTGACCTCCCATCTCATTATGTTTGGGAAGTCAGTTGTTAAGATTTTGGGGCGTCCCCTTGGCCACAAGGGGGTCTGTTCAGTTGTTGGGGGTCTTAGGGTTTTAAACTTACAGACCTCGAAGAGGGTAACAAGATACATAAGGGAATAAGAGAAAGGTACCCGAGTCTCAGCGCTTACTTCTCCACAGTGTAACTCACTCGGCTTGCGAGGGACGCCTCGGCCCAGGGCGCAGCGCGGGGCACTGTATTCCTCCTAGATCTCTTTCTTTCAGTAGAGACCTTTTAATAATAAACACTACTTACATTGCTTTACAGTTCACGCTTGCGGTCATTATTTCAGTCGAGCTTTTCAACAGCTCTGTGAGACAGATACTATTTCTATTTCGGAGAAGAGGGTGCCCTTGAGCCACAAGACTCATACATCCGGACCCTATCACCACTCCGAATCTTAAGCTCCGAGGATGACCGAGGACCGACGGCCCAGCCGTTTCCCCAGATAACCCACCTGCCTTGGGTTACATTTTCGCTCGGCCCTGTTAGCCGCAACCAGCAGCCATCTACCCGCTTTCCCCAAACCAGGAAAACCACAGAAACGCCAAGTGCTTGGCCAGTCTCTTCCACGCCCGGGAGCGCAGAGCTTACAGAGCGAGGCCGCCCAAGTCTCCTCATCCCAAGGCGTACTCAAGAACCCCAACTTGGCATCGTTTGGCTAAGGCCCCAACGATCGAACTCAGTGGCCGCGGAATCTCCCCAGGGCCAGCTCGCCAGCCAGGCGCTCACAAGCCGCTCTAGCCGAGCTCAGAGCAGGCAGTCTCGTTGCTCCCCGCGTGACGTCATCGGCGGGCGCCGCAGAGCCGTGGCGGGCACGCGCAGCCGAGAAGATGTCTCCGACGCCGCCACTCTTCAGTTTGCCCGAAGCGCGGACGCGGTTTACGGTGAGCTGTAGGCGGAAGGGCGCAGGCCTGACCCGGCGCTATGCTTTGCCCTCTTCTCCCTGAAATTACTTGAAATTTGCCCCGGGGTAAAGCGAGACAGAGGTGTGTCCGCCTCAGCGTCCGCTCTCGGCCCCGTCGGGGGCTGAGGGGTAGGGAAAGACGCCCTACCCGCCTCTTCGCTGCGGACTGGGCTATCCGCCTCCGCCCACCCGCCGGCGAGTCCCCGGGCCCGCGTTCTGGGTGCCTCGGCACCCCGCGTGGAGTGCTCGCCTGCAGACTACTTCTGGTCGGGCCAGCCCCTCAGCTCGCTTAGCGGGGCAGGTGTCTCCAGAAGTAGAAGGGGAGCTGCTGAAGGGGAGGGTGGAAGTGGTTTCAGTCCAAAGACCTGGCTCCCGCCCCAGCCTTCTGAGCTGCCAAGTGATGTTCCCGTCGTGTGTTCACCACCCTTTAACCCTCCGTATCTCATTCCTAAGAGATCGATGAGGAGATCCTAAACGGGAAAAGGCAGATAGATCACCTTGGGAAGGGTAACCAGATGTTATTTTATTCTTGCTCAATGTGGAAGGGTGGTTTTGAGCATTTGGGAAACACTTGACAGAGCACTGTCTCATTTAACTATTGGAGTAACACTCACTGTGAAGTAGGCTAAGTTGATTTTCCTGGTACATGAGATAGAAGCTCATACTCCCCCAAAAGTTATGACTTCACTGGTTTTTGTGACATTAGACCCTCTATTCTTTTTATGTCGCTCGTCACAGCAACGTAAGTATGAAGAACACTTTTAAGTTTCTTGACTCTGTTCGTCTCTAGCATTTGCACCAACATTTCAAGGCATTCCACTACTCAGGTATTCAGCTAAGCTTGGGTAGTTATAGGAATGCCAGGATGAAAATTCTGTGAAAGAAAATTGATTCTTTGTAGTAAGTGGTTTTCTTGTTTACAGGTTGGTTTTTTTTTTTTTTTTAATACAGTATGAGGTTTTTTTTTAATGGATTATATTTTCCGTATTTCATTAGAATCGTTTTCTTTGTGTGCAGTTTGCTGCAATCTCTGGTGCTTTGAAAGCCTGCTAGAGTAACTCTTAGGACTATCCAAGATTATATTAGCAACCGGCTGCGGTGGCTCACGTCTGTAAATCCAATACTTTGGGAGGCCAGGGCCGGGGGATCACTTGAGGTCAGAAGTTCAAGACCAGCCGGGCCAAGATAGCGAAACCCCGTCTCTACTAAAATTACAAAAATTAGTCGGGCATGGTGGCTGCCTGTAATCCCAGCTATTTGGGAGTCTGAGGTAGGAGAATCACTTGAACCTGGACAGTGGACGTTGCGGTGAGCCAAGATCGTGCCAGTGCACTCCACCTGGGCAACAGAGGGAGACTCTGTCTCAAAAAAAAAAAGTGTCATATTTGCCCTAAAAAGGATCATTAAATTGGAGATTAACCGCTTCTCAGGCTTCTTGTGAAATACAGATTCCGACTCAGTAAGTCTGGAATGGGGCCTGAGATTCTACGTTTCTACCAGCTTCCCAGGTGATGCCACTATAGGTGCTTCTGGTAGTAAAAATCTACAACAGCCCTCTTATTTAACTGGTGGTGAAAATGAAGCAAAAAGAGATGGATAGGCCCCAAATTACTGAGCCTGTTCGTGGCAGAGCAAGGAATGGACACATCCAGGATAAATCTAATTCCTGTGAGGTAATAAGATGACTTTCTAAGTGTATGTGAGTGTTCATAGAATGAATGACTTTGCAATATTTTGTCTTTAAGTTATGATTAAGACAGTTCGCAGATTGTCAGCACGGTGTTGTTCAGTGCTACGTGTGAGGGACTGAACCAGATACCTAGAGAAGGCAAGACCTGACATGGGTGTGGGAGAATGGATAGAATTTGGATGAACAGATAGGAAGAACAACATGGCTCTGTGAATACATTAGAATGAGTTTGATAGAAAATGATGAAAAATGGCTGGTGCAAACTATGTGTTAGGGAGTATTGGAAAATAAGGTTGGGTAGATTGGGATAACATTATCAAGGACCTTCAGGGAGCTGTAAAGCTTCAAAATCAAAACGTGGAATTAAGGAACCATTTGGAGATTTTTTTTTTTTTAAGCAGAATACTCTCATGAATGTGATATTTAAAGAGATAGTAGGAGGGAAAACTAGAATGAAAACATCCAGCGAGGAAGCTCTTGCCAGATTTAAAGTGATGAGCATCTGTATGATTACTTGGAATTGAATTGGCATTGGAATTAGGGTTACTGAGAGAATGACTGATAGGTAATTTTTCCCAGGTATAAGCATTTTTTAGTTAGAAAGATACACTATCGGTAGTCGGCAAAGCCTGAGTCCTGTGCTGTTGCTCTCCTCCCCGGGCAGCGTGAGCTTCACCACTCGCTCCACCTTCTCCACCAACTACCGGTCCCTGGGCTCCGTCCGGGTGCCCAGCTACGGTGCCCGGCCAGTCAGCAGCGCGGCCAGCGTCTATGCAGGCACTGGGGGCTCTGGTTCCCACATCTCTGTGTCTCACTGCACCAGCTTCTGGAGTGGCATGGGGGTCAGGGGCCTGGCCACGGGGATGGCCGGGTGTCTGGCAGGAATGGGAGGCATCCAGAACGAGAAGGAGACCATGCAAAGCCTGAACAACTGCCTGGCCTCCTACCTGGACAGAGTGAGGAGCCTGGAGACCGAGAACCAGAAGCTGGAGAGCAAAATCCTGGAGCATCTGGAGAAGAAGGGACCCCAGGTCAGAGACTGGGGCCATTACTTCAAGACCATCGAGGACCTGAGGGCTCAGATCTTCGCAAATACTGTGGACAATGCCCGCATCGTTCTGCAGATTGACAATGCCCATCTTGCTGCTGATGACTTTAGAGTCAAGTATGAGACAGAGCTGGCCATGTGCCAGTCTGTGGAGAGCGACATCCATGGTCTCCACAAGGTCATCGATGACACCGATGTCACTCGGCTGCAGCTGGAGACAGAGATCGAGGAGGAGGAGCTGCTCTTCATGAAGAAGAACCATGAAGAGGAAGTAAATGGCCTGCAAGCCCAGATTTCCAGCTCTGGGTTGACCGTGGAGGTAGATGCCCCCAAATCTCAGGACCTTGCCAAGATCGTGGCGGAAATCCGGGCTTAATATGACGAGCTGGGTCGGAGGAACCGAGAGGAGCTAGACAAGTACTGGACTCAGCTGATTGAGGAGAGCATCATAGTGGTCACCACGCAGTCCTCTGAGTTTGGAGCTGCTGAGATGATGCTCACAGAGCTGAGACATACAGTCCAGTCCTTGGAGATCGACCTGGACTCCATGAGAAATACAAAGATCAGCTTGGAGAACAGCCTGAGGGAGATGGAGGCCCACTACGCCCTGCCGATGGACTAGCTCAGCGGGATCTTTCTACATCTAGAGTCAGAGCTGGCAGACCTGGGCAGAGGGACAGCACCAGGCCCAGGAATACGAGGCTCTGCTGAACATCAAGGTCAAGCTGGAGGCTGAGAATGTCACCTACCGCCGCCTGCTGGAAGATGGAGAGGACTTTAGTCTTAGTGATGCCCTGGACAGCAGCAACTCCATGCAAACCATCCAAAAGACCACCACCAGCCGGATAGTGTATGGCAAAGTGGTGTCTGAGACCAACAACACCAAAGTTCTGAGACATTAGGCCAGCAGAAGCAGGGGACCCTTTGGGGAACGGGAGGCCAATGAAAAGTTCAGAGGTTAAAAAAAAAAGAAAGATACACTATCAACGAATGATATATTTTTCAGTAAATAACAAGCAAAATTTTTACAGTGATTTGCCATTTTAATTTTTTTCTAGAAGTCTACCAGAGAGGCCTTGAACATCAAAAATATCAAGCCATTGTTAAGTACCTTCAGCCAGGTACCTGGCAGGTAAGGCATTGATATCTGTGAAAAATGCTTGCCTGAATCTTTATACATACCCTGAGCTGTTTGAAAAATGAGGATGTCTTTTGTTTTTAATAGTGAAAATGAAAAAAAGTGTACCCTTGATCAAGCTTTCAGAGGTGTTGTAGAAGAAGAAATTGTAAGTATGTTTTTCCATTGTTAAAATTTTGCTGACAAATTAGTAAACCATGTTATTTTTTTAAATTGCTTTTTTTTTTTTTTTAGAAAATAAAGATTTTTTAAATTGCTTTTTTTCTTAGAATGGATATTTCAATGTCTTTTTCTACAGTAAGCTTTCTGCCTTGTAAAAACTGACTTGATCACAGTATATGAGTTCTGTCATAATTATGTTGATACCACAGGTACATTTTCAGGTTTTGATTTAATAAATAACAGGAGCCCTCTCCAAGTGAGTAGAAAAGTTGGCATGAGGTCTTAGTGAGGAAGAACTAGAGGTGAAGGTGGGCTCTCTCACTTTGCTATATAAACAGTGCCATATCCTGTAGTGGCATGAAAAGTCTAGTTCAAGAATATTTAGCTTAGGAGCTGGGATTCCATTCCCTCATTTTCCTGTGACATCCTTCTCATCAGTAAGCTTACATAAATAGCTAAGGCCTCTCCAACTTCAGTAGAGAAATCAAACCATGAAAAATCTGAATTTATTTACCAATAATGGAGCACCTGAATGAAAGGAAAAGTTTCAGCAGTTTATTCTTGGTCAAGCAAGGGTTGGGTCCCTAAAAGCTAGACTCACTTCTATTGGCCAAAATATGATGTCCCTTTCAGACAATTCTGGTTCAAAAATAATTCTTTCCTTTTCTTCAGACTTAGTCACTTTTCCATTGTGAGGCATTGGGCAAGTTATTTTCCTTTTCTGTGCTTCAGTTTCTTTTGTAAGAGGAGAAATACCGTTCTTTCACTGTCTTTGTGTGAAACAGCACTTAATGAACACTCAGTAAATGCTGGTTATTATGGTTTTATAAAACTTAAGCTCTACCTCCCTTCCATTAAAACCCTCCCTCAGATGCGTGGGTGCACTAGTAGTTAGTTTCCCTAGCCCTGCCTTTCCCCTGTACCACTGGCTGAATTATGGCTTCAGCACTTCTGTCCTTGAGTAGCTTGTAGCCTTCATCTTCTAATGCAACCATTTTCCTGAGACCATTGGATTTTGAGTGAGTCACCTACCTATTGACATACTTCTGCAACTGATTCTATATATTAGTGTTAAATTTTTGTAACTTCATATTAGAAAATATTATCTTCGAGGGCCAGGCGTGGTGGCTCAAGCCTGTAATCCCAGCACTTTGGGAGGCCGAGGCGGGTGGATCACGAGGTCGAGAGATCGAGACCATCCTGGTCAACATGGTGAAACCCCGTCTCTACTAAAAATACAAAAAATTAGCTGGGCATGGTGGCACGTGCCTGTAATCCCAGCTACTCAGGAGGCTGAGGCAAGAGAATTGCTTGAACTCAAGAGGCGGAGGTTGCGGTGAGCCAAGATCACGCCATTGCACTCCAGCCTGGGTAACAAGAGCGAAACTCTGTCTCAAAAAAAAAAAAAAAAAAGAAAATATTATCTTCCATAAGAAATACTGTATTCCATATTTGTGATAGTAAATTTAATGTCAGAGTACATGTTTTAACTATTATCAAGTTAATCTGAACTCTTGCCCCTAAATTAAATTGTTTCTCCTCTGTTGGTAGATAAATCATTCATCATGTGAAAACGTTTTAGCTATTATTTCTCTTGCTATTGGGGGAGTAACTGAAGGTAAGTATGATTCTATTTTGTTTTTTAAAGTAATCTTGGACATGACATGCTTTATTTAAAATGTCTTCTCCCCATACTTCTCCACCTATTTGATTTAGTTTATTCTTCAAGTTCTGCCTGACTCCCTGCTTTGTCAAGAAGTTGTCCCAATTGAATTAGTTCACTCATTTCTCATCTCTATTATGCAGTGCACATTTTGGCACTTTCTTTGTTCTCCAGTTGTTTTGTTCATTCAGTAAATTTTTATTGAGCATCTACTATGTGCCTGGTACCGAGCTAGGACCTGGAGATTCAATGGTGAATAAAACATATTCCCCTGGCCATATGGAGTTAGTAGAAGAAGCATATATGTGCCTTGCTGCGGTGTAAGTACCATGGTCGAAGTGGGAATGAAGTGTGCTTAGAGGGAATAGAGTCAACATGGCTCGCTAAACTTCAGTCTAAAAGAATCAGGAAAGATTTTGGAAAAGAACATGAGAATTAAAATGTGAGATATGAAGAGTTTGTTAGACAAATTAAGAAGGGAATAGCTAGAGAATTCTGTATAGCAGGAGGAGGAGAGGACAATGAGAATGGTGAGGAAAGAAGCAGGTTAGGTCCATTTGTAAAGGGCATTGTGTGCCATACTAAATAGCAGCTGCGGATGAATGATTCCATTTGAAGTGACTGCTGGCAGGAAGACTGGACAGGGGCCTGTTAAAATGGCCATATGGGATAGTTTTAGGAGACATTGGGTAAACAAGGTGCATAGTACACAGTGCCTATCACATAATAGGAGCTCCTTAAATATTTGCAGAAAGAAGAAATTAAAAAATAGTTTATCAGCATTCTTCTTTAACCAATTTGGTTACAATACTCATTTGATTAGTTCAGATAATATATGTGAAAACTGCTTTTTAATCTGTAAAGCATTATTCGCATAGTGTGTTATTTTGATGCTTCTATAAAAACTGGCACACAGGGTAAAAGTGGTCTCCCATTATAGGGGCAGATTATTTTGTGAATTTCAGTTCACAAATTAATGTTGTTAAACTTTTATACAAGATGCCTAATCATTCATTCATTCGTTAGGCATAGTTAGTTGAGTTCCACAATGTAATATTCCTTGTCTAGTTTCCATCAAACAATTTTCAGTGTGTCCTTAGTTTATTAACTTTATACGTTACTCTTGTGTGTGCTTGATGTTTTTATTGGAAAACGTTGTACAAAGTGTAGTCTATACTTGAGACTTTTAAGAAGGATAAGGACTTAAGAGCTTAAACTGTAAATAGAGGCATAAATGCATTTTTATTTTGGGGGAATTTTTCTTTTCAAGAGGTGATTATTTGCTTATGTGACATGTTTTTAAATTATCCATAAATATATTTTGTTAAATTCAATTTGACCAATATTTATTGAGCTATTCAGTGTGAGACACGACTGGTTTAAGCATACAAAAATGCCTACTCTTAAAAAACTCATAGTCTACACTCAAAGGTGACTAGTTAGGATGTGCTAAATTCTACAGTATATTTATATACAGTGTGCTTCAAAAGCGTAAATGAAGTAGCCTGCTTCAAGATATCAGAGTTACTTAGATGAGCTGACATTCACTCTGTGCTTAGAAAGATGGAGTTGAAATGTACCCTGTGGTAAAGATGAGGAAGAATATTTAGGCAGAAAACAACATTGTAAACAAAACCATGGAAGGATGAACATAGCATGGTGTTTGGGAACTGGGGAGTGGGAACCAGGGAGGGATGTCTGTGGCCCACGTAAAGATAAGAAGAGAGGTTGGTGTGGAAGCTGGGACACAGGTTGTGAAAACTCTTGGGGGAATCACACGATAACCCAGTGGTTCCCAGACTTACTAGCTCATCAGAACCACCAGCAAATCTGTTTTTAAATGAGATTCTCAAACCTTGCTTAGTCCTACTGACTCAATCTTTGGCAGTAGAATCTAGAAAATTTTCTTAAGTTCTATAATTATTAAATGTGAGTTAACTTATTCCAGGCTATACTGCAACTAAGGGCAGAGAGTATGCTTCTCAAATCTTTTGGATGTGCAGGGTATATAATATCACTGAATCTAAGTATTGTTAAGGACTTCAGAGGTCGTCCAGTCCAGTCTTGTCTCTGGCCTAGACTGCGTCTCTGCTGTAACATCCTTGACGGGTAGTCATCCAGCTCTGCTGAATCATGCTCATTAGAGGAACTCACTGTTAAGAGTCCTGTTAGACAGAGCTAGTTATTGGTGTGTTCCCTTGTATTAAGTTGAAATCTGCTCTTTATTGCACCCACTGCTTCTAGGCAGTATCCCTCACATTGCATTCCACATATGATCTTACTAGTGCAGAGTAGAGCTGGAAATATTTCTTCCTTTTTCTGGACATACTATATTAATACACCGTTTTGGGCTTAGAGCACCGTAGATATTTTCCCCCCATATACCATGCCTACGTGGCTATTTTTCTTAAACACTTATGAGTGTTAGTAAGTACCCATTACCTTAAAATAGAAAGAAGAATGAATAGGGATATAAAAGTATTTCTGAGTAGTCTGAATGACCTTTTCTTAAGATAAATTTTTATTTTGTTGTTCTTTAAACAGTAACTTTCTACTTTCCCATTCTTTCCCCTGAAACAGTACTATTATTTTAAATATTAAATCATAGTTAAAATCAGTATCAAACCTTGTTATTTTTTGAAGATAATCTTTTCAAATCATCAAGACAATTTACCAACATTACAAAAATTTGGAAATGAGAAAAAGGGAAAACAGTACTCATAATTCCTCTACTTTCAAAAACTGCCATTCATCTGGTATAATGGTTTAGTTTCTATAGTCTTTTAATAATTTTTTTATGTCATAACAATATGTACATACAGTTTTGAATCCTGCCTTTTTCACTTAGCATTATACCATAAGCATTTTTCCAAGTTGTTACAGTCATTATAACTATCGTTTTTAATTGGCTGCATTATATTCTTTTGAATAGCTTAGTGGTGAAGAAAACAGACTGTGGAGCCAGACTGCCTGGGTTCGTATCCCAGCTCTACCACTTACTGGCTCTGTGATCTTGGGCAAGTTATTTAATCTCTCTGTGTCTCAGTTTTCCCATTCTATAAAATACAAATAATGATATGCTCTACCTCATAGGGTTATAAGGATTAATATGTTAGTATATGTAAAGCACTTAGTGTGCCTGACATATAGTAAATGCTCTAAATCTTGTCAAGAATTATTATCATCATTACTGAGTGTACATATCAAAAATTACTTAAGTATGTCCTGTTTGGGGACTTTTAGGTTGCTTCCATTTCTTGTCCTTTTAAAACCTTGTTATGAGTAACGAAGTGTACATTTTAAGATGTTCTTTAGAATTATTTTTCATAGGCTATTTTGCTCTATGGTGTTTTAAACTTTTTAATTGACTTGTGCTCCACTTGAAGGTATTTGTACCGCATCTACACCTTTTGTATTGTTGGGAGATGTTTTGGATTGTCTTCCTTTGGATCAGTGTGACACAATATTCACTTTTGTGGAAAAAAATGTTGCTACTTGGAAATCAGTAAGTGCCTTAGTTTCTTTTCCTGCTAACTTTATCTGTCTATAGATCCAGAGTTCTGAGGGTAGATTTTTTTTTTAATGTATTTCTAGTATTGCTGATCACCAACAAGTTTGTGACTGTGAAAATATATACTGCTCTCTTGGGAGAGCCAAATAAAAACCATGTGTGGAGAAAAACTTGAAATACAAAATTTGGTTTAATTTGAGTAGTAAAAATTAACTTGAAAATTTACACTTTCACATGTTTAAAACAATTACTTAGTATCATGTTATCTTGTATATCTGAAAAATATTTTTATTTCATTGAAAATGTTATTTGCTTTTAAAAAGTGAAAGTGGCATAGTAGATTCTCAGTGCATGTTAGTATTTGACTTCCTGTGACTTATTATTGAAGACTGTATAACAAGTTCTGAAGAAGAGTGATAATTTCCATCTTAATTTCAGAATACATTCTATTCTGCTGGGAAAAATTACTTACTACGTATGTGCAATGGTAAGTAATTGAGTGATAAAATGTTTGTTTTTAAAATGTAAATGTGCCCAGAAAAACAGGCGGTTGAATTAAATACCAGTGATAACATTTTAAAGATAGATTAGGTATCAGCATTTTCAACTAACATTCTGATTATTAGAACTCATCATTCATTTTAAACTGTTTTTGTTCTGAATGTAAACTTGATGAAAATCAGAAATGTTATAGTAAAGTTGGGCTTTTTCATGTCCTGTTGAACTTGTTTTGTTCCTAATTTATAGTACTTTTTGGGGGCAGTGGTTTCTGCTCCCATTTTAAGAACTGCTTTAGGAAAATACTCTTGACAAACTGGTTTAGAAACTTTTAGGTATGGTTGTAATAAGCATAGAATTATCATTTCTGTGTAACGTTTATTTTCGTATATTGTTAGATCTCCTAAGAAGATTATCAAAATCCCAGAATACAGTTTTTTGTGGACGAATTCAGCTCTTTTTGGCTAGGCTTTTCCCTCTATCTGAAAAATCAGGTAAGCTTTCATGCATTAAATGAATTATTTGCAGAAAAATCTTTTTCAGTTTTTAATATATTATAATGTGTCATGATAATGAGAAAAAATGTTTCTAAAAAGTTGAAAGATACCATAGAAATTGTTGCTTTATTTTCTTTTACTTTCACCTAGTGTATGATACAGGTAATCCTGAAACCAAGTCATGGATGCTTTGAGTTCAAAGCTTATTAATAATAATTTACAGTTGAATCACACTGGAACATGTAGATACAAATCATCATGTCTGTATTTTGTAATGTATGCCTATTTGTGTTTCCATTTTCTCTCAGTCATGACTATTTAGCTATATAGACTTCCTTTCATTTCTCTTTTTTAACAAATTTTTATTGTGAAATATAACGCTTATATAGAACAGTACATAAAACAGGTAATAATGAAACAAACACTGTATAACCACCGTCTAGTTCCTGAAATGGGACATTGCTTGTTATCCACAGCCTTCCCCCTCCCCAGACTGTTCAGATGTGTGAGATTTTAATATCTCCTTGCTTCAGTTCTCCCTTCCTTAATATTGGGCTAATGTATCACCTACTTTATATGTTGTTAGGATTAAATGAATTAAAACATGTGAAGAGCTTACAATAGTGCCTGCATGTAGAAAGACCTATAGTGTATGTTAGCAGTGGTTTTTTTTAATGTGCTTTCTTTTTGTCATCCTATGTCTGTGTTGTTTTCTTTCATACTTATTTTATGTGGTGATGGTTAATATAGATTTACCATTTCTTGTATTTCTGGCTTTCTGTCTGTTATCATTTTCCCTTTTAGACTTTTCTTCATTGCGGGTCTGTGTTTGGCCTAAAAATCATTACTTCCACTTTATTTTTTTTCCTTTCTTTCTTCCAAACTCCTGTTAGTATTGATATTTGATCTCCTCCCATTTAGATATAAGATTCTAGATCAGCACTAGATATAGGATTTCATCTAATGGGAAATAATCTTTACTTTGTCTTCTGTTGTTCTATTGACAAGTCAGATGTCAGTCTCACTTCTTGAAGATAACCTAGATTTTTTTCTCTACACTTAAGATTTTTTCACTCTTTGGTTTTCTTTAGTTTTATTATGATGTATCTATGTGTAAATTTATTTTTATTTGCCCTGCTTAGGATTTTAGACATCTTGAATGTATAGATTTGATCTCTTCATCTAGTTTGTAAAAATTTTAGCCATTATCTCTTCAAATATTGTGTATGCCTCTTTTTCTTTTTCTGGAACTTTGATTAAACAACCATTATACCGTCTTAATGCATCTTCTGTTTTTTACTCCTTATGTATTTTTTCATCTATTTGTCTCTCTCTACCATATTCTGAATAATTTCTTAATAATTTTTTTTTAGTTTTCTAAATTTGGTAAACATTGTTACTTTATTGTCTGTATCTGGTAATGTCAATACCTTAAATAAGTCTTGGTGGGTCTGTTTCTCCTGTTTGTTTTGACTATTTCTTACTCACTGTGTCTTGCCTCGTTGTTAGTTTGGTTATCATTAGCAGTTAACATTTGAAAAGATATTTGAGGCCTATGATAGATACCTTTCTCCAAGTAGGGTTTCCATTGCTTCCACCAGGCACCTTTAAAAAGGGCTACTACCAGTACAGGATTATCTTAATCCAGCCCAGTTTAAGGCCTGTGATTCTCTAGACCATTCAGGAGACTTGGTACTAGGTTCTAGTTATTGCTTCCTTCTTACCTGAGGATGTAGCCCTACGAATTCCCAGCTTTGAAGATGATTGGGGGTAGGATTTATCAGTGTATTAGATTCCTCACCTTTGTTGGGCCCAGAGATTTGCTTTTATAATCCTAGCTTCTGGAAGCTACTAAAAGTTGCTCAGTTTTGCAACTGATTCGCCTGTTTGGCAGATGTCCTGAGAGCTGAAGTGACTTTAAGTTCTAATAATGCATTGTCTATGTTTCTTGTCTTCTTGATTTTCACCAGTTATTTCTCACCTTCTTGTCAGCTCTTTACTGTTTTTAAGAAAGTCATTTTTCCATATCGTTGCCTAAAACAGTGCTATGAACTTGATGATGCTCTATAAATATTTACAGAATTAATGTAATTTATTCAAGGTTTTAGTTGTCCTTAGAGGGGATGGGGGTGGGGGATTAATCTGAATAATTTAGGTCTTCCATTACTGAGAGTCTGACCCTTGTTATTGCTTCAGTAAGTTTATCAAAATGTGAACTCACATGTCATAATTCACCCATTTAAACTCTACAATTTATTTTAGTACATTCACAAGGTTGTGCAACCATCCCCATAGTCTAATTTCGGAACATTTTCCCCTCTAAAAGAAACTCCAGGCCAGCATGGTGGCTCACACTTATAGTCCTAGCACTTTGGGAGGCCGAGGCAGCCAGGAGTTCGAGACCAGCCTGGGCAACACAGGGAGACCCTGTCTCTAAAAAAAAGAAAAGGAAAGGAAAAAATAAACTCCATATTCATTAGCTGTCATTCCCCACTTATCCAACTAAGTCCTAAACAAACATTAGTCTACTTTTAGGCCTCCTTTTCTAGAAATTTTTAGATTTTCCTTTTCTAGAAATTTAATAGAAACGAAATAATACAATATGTGTTTTTTTGTGACTGGCTTCCTTCACTTAGCATAATGTTTTCAAGGTTCATTTATGTTATAGCATGTGTTAGTATTTCATTCCTTTTTGTTTACTTATTTTTTTAGAGACAGGGTCTGGCTCTGTTGCCCAGGCTAGAATCACCACAGCCTGTGCCTCCAGGCTCAAGCCATCCTCCCACCTAAGCCTCCCAGTAGTTGACACTACCATGCCCAGTGAATTTTTTTTTTTTTTTTTAAGAAAGGGTTTCACCATGTTGCCTAGGCGGGTTTTGAACTCCTGGGCTCAAGCAGTCTGCCCACTTCAGCCTCCCAAAGTACTGGTATTACAGGAGTGAGCCACTATGTCTGGCCCATTCCTTTTTATGACTAAGTAATATTCCACCATAGGCCCATAACACATTTTGTTTATCCATTCATCACCTGGTAGACATTTGGATTGTTTCCAGTTTTTGACCATTATGAACAATGCTGCTACATTTGTGTACAAGTTTTTGTTTGAGCACATGTTTTCATTTCTTTTGAGTATCTACTAAGAGTAGAATTTGCTAGGTCATATGGTAACTCTAAGTCTTAATTTCTCCTGGGTATATGTCTAAGAGTAGAATTATGGGGTTGTATAATAACTCTGTTTAAATTTTTGCCCAATGGTAAGTGGGCTTATTGACTAGTTTAATGTCTTGAGGTAGGATTCTTGCTTTTTTTTTTTTTTTAACTTTTTGCTTTGAAATAAATTTAGACTTAAAGAAGAGTTTGCAAAGGTAGTATAAAGAGCACCTGAATACACTTCACCTAATGTTAACATCTTATATAATCGTGGTACAGTTATCAAAACTCAGAAATCGACGTTACTACCACATTCACTATTAACTACAGACATTATTTAGATTTTGCAGTTTTATCATTACTTTCTTTCTGAGAAAGATTTCTAGGATCCCACATTGCATTTAGTTGTCATGTTGCCTTAGTCTCCCTAGTCAGTGACAGCTTTCCTTATGTGGCATGACTTGAAACTTTTGGAAGGTGCTGGTCAGATATTTAGTAGAATGTCCCTTAATTTAGGTTTGTTTCATTTATTTTCATAATTGAAGTGATGGATTTTTGGGAAGAAGACCCATAGTAGTGGTATGCCCTTTTCAGGGTATCATTTGGAAGTGATATTGATGTGTCTTATTACTGGCAGTATTATCCTTGATCACTTGGATGTGGTAGTGTCACTCGTATTTCTCTGTTGTAAAGTTACTGTTTTTCCCTTTGTAATTAATAAATATTTGGGGGAGATACTTTGAGGCTAGGCAAATACTCTTTTTCTTCTTAAATTTTTGCTCACTAATTTTAGTGATTTTAGGATTTTGCCTGCAATTATTATTAAGATGTCCTCGTGGTGATTTTTTCTCTTTCTCATTCCTTCTACATTTTTAATTGGATTTTTCTATAAGAGTTTCTTTTCTTCCTTATCTATTTAATAATTCAATCATCTATTTCCAAATGAACTCATGAATATTTATTTATTTCTCTGGGTTATAATCTCATGGTGTCATTATTGACTTTGTTACTTCAATTGTTTATTTTTTAGTCATTGAGAGTTCTTTCCGGTTTTCCTTGTATGAGAAGATTGTCTAGGCTCATTTTGTATTTTCTTGTCCCAGCCCTAGAATCAGCTATTTCTCCCAGGAGTCTTGGTTCCTTTTAAATATTCCTGACACTAATCAGTTCTTACAAACTAATTAAAAAGAGTTGTAAGCCAGTCATGTTGGTGCCCACCTATAGTCCCAGCAACTCAGAAGACTGAAGCAGGAAGATATTAATAGTTTGAGGCCAGGAGTTCAAGGCTGTAGTGATCATGCCTGTGAATAGCCATTTCGCTCTAGCCTGGGCAACACCCTATCTCTTTGAAAAAAAAAAAAAGAGTTGCATTTCTGTATTGTGGATTCAGAACCACTAAAACTCTTTTTTTCTCCCTGATACAGGGTCTCGCTATGTTGCCCAGGCTAGTGTGGAACTCCAGGGCTCAAGCAGTCCTCTCACCTCAGCCTCTGGATAGCTGGGATTAACATGCACATGCTACCACACCTGGCTACGAAACTCTTAAAATATAAGATTTCCTAAAAAGCTAGAAATTTTTAAAGTCTTTAAAATGTGCAGATAACCAGTTTTTATAGATGGCACATTATTTTTGACAACAGAACACCATAATCACGGAGATATTTTCAGACATCCAGTTTCATAATGCTTTCTTATAGCACAGATTTCACTCAGACAGTATTTACTTTCTCATTATAAGCATGTCACCTTTACCATGAAGTGATGAAGTATTTATTTTTACTTGTTTAATTTTTTATTATAGTAAAATATACATTACATAAAAGTTACCGTTATAATCAGTTTTTAGTGTACAATTCAGTAGCAATAAGAAAACTCACATTGTTGTGCTGTCATCACCACATCCATATCCATATTGTTTTTATTAAATAATAACTCCTTATTACCGTCTCCCTACTTGTCCAAAGAGCCTAGTTCTTTTTATTTAAGAATCATAGTTAAAGCCAAGATCTGGCCCCTGGATATGCTCATTGCTACTGGAGTATCACTACTGCTAGGAAAGTAGTGATACTACTTTCAGAGACCAGAGCTAGGAAAGACATATGTGTATACTAACCATACTTATCTGTATTTATTTCTGTATCTGTCAGTATATATTTTACACGAACAGCAGCAAAAAACATGAGATCATACCGATACCTATGAGTTGAATCCAGCACCAATAGACCTGTTTATTAACCTCTTTCTTTAACAGTAAGAAACTTGGCTCTCATTAACTACAGTGTGTTTACTTATTTGTTATATGCTCTCACTTTTTCATTAATATAATTTACATTTGTGCTTCAACAGAATTGTCAATTATTCTATATTGCATTCTGTGGAATTGTTCTTGAATGGTCATGAATAATAAGGATCAACTCTATTAACATAATGTATATAGAATTCTGTGTACAGACATACCATGGGTTTTGTTCCAGACTACCACAGTAAAGTGAATATCGTAATAAAGCAAAACACATTTTTTGGTTTCCCAGTGCATATAAAAGTTATGTTTACACTATGCTGTAGTCTATTAGTAGCATCTCAAAAAAGTACATATTGTGCTTTTAAAATACTGCTAAAAACAGCTAATGACCACCAAAACCTTTTCCAAGTTGTCATCTTTTTGCTCATGGAGGGTCTTACCTCGATGTTGATGGGTGCTGACTGATCAGGGTGGTGGTTGATGAAGGTTGGGGTGGCTGTGACAATTTCTTAAAATAACATAGTGAAGTTTGCCACATCAGTTGACTCTTCCTTTCATGAAAGATTTCTCTGTAGCACATGATGCTGTTTGGTAGCATCTGATCCACAGTAGAACTTTCAAAGTTGGGGTCAGTCCTCTCAAACCCTGCCACTGCTTTATCAACTAAGTTTATGTAATATTCTAAATCCTTTGTTGTTATTCAGTAGTGTTCAGAGCATCTTCACCAAGAGTAGAATTCATCTTAAGAAACCACTTTCTTTGCCCATTCATAAGAAGCAACTCCTCATCTATTTCAAGTTTGATCATGAGATTGCAGCAATTCTGTCATATCTTCAGGCTCCATTTCTAATTATAGTTCTCTTGCTGTTTCTACCACATCTGAGCTACTTCCTCTACTGAAGTCTTGAGCCCCTCAAAGTCATCTGGGTTGGAATCAACCTCTTCCAAACTCCTGTTTATATGAATATTTTTATCTCCTTTCATGAATCACAGTTCTTTATGGGATTGAATTATTAAATAGATAAGGAAGAAAAGAAACTCTTTCTATAGAAAAAAAAGTTCTTTATGGGATCTAGAATTATAGGTCCTTTCCGGAAGGTATCCATTTACTTTGCTCAGATCCATGAAAGAATCACTATAGTAGCTGTAGCCTCATGAAATGTATTTCTTAGGTAATAAGACTTGAAAGTTGAAATAACCCTTTGGTCCATTGGCTGCAAAAAGGATAATGTGTTAGCAGGCATGAAAACAACATTAATTTCCTTGTCTATCTCCATCAGAGCTCTCGGGTGACCAGGTGCAGTGTGAATAAGCAGTAATATTTTGAAAGGAAATCTTTTTTTCTGAGCAGTAAGTCTCAACAGTGGCCTTAAATATTTAGTAAACCATGCTGTAAACAGATGTACTGTCATCCAGGGTTTGTCTTTTTATGGGTGGAGCCTAAGCAGTGTAGATTTAGCATAATTCTCAAGAGCCCCAGGATTTTCAGAATGGTAAATGAGCATTGGCTTCGATTTAAAGTGACCAGAGTGACCAGCTGCATTAGTCCCTAGCAAGAAAGTCAGCCTGTTCCTTGAAGGCAAGCATTGACTTCTCTCTAGCTGTGATACTTCTAGACAGCATCTTCCAATATCAGGATGTTTCATCTACATTGAAAGTTCTGTTGAGTATAGCCAACTTCATCAATGTTCTTAGCTAGATCTTCTGGATAGTTTACTGCAACTTGTCCATCGGTAGTTGCTGCTTCACCTTACACTATTTATTATATTATGGAGAGGGCTTTATTCTTTAGACCTCATGTACCAACTTCTGCTAGCTTCATACTTTTCTCCTGTGGTATCCTCACCTCTCTCAGCCTTCATAGAACTGAAGATAAACTGAAGGAAATAAAAACGGTTGTTCAGAAGCTCAGACTTGACTAGAAGCAGACTCCCAGAGGTAATGAAATGACAGTGGAGACTTTAGGGCATAAAGTGGCAGGGTTGGAGCTGGAGGCTTCGTTCGTTGCATCAGAGTGGGATGCTCTCATCATCCTATCTGCTCTACCTTCAGTCTCCCTAAAGAGCTCCATATGATCTTGACTTTACAGAACAAAGAGCACATGGTTATAGCTGTTGCATGTTCACTTTGAGTCTAATAAGTTGGTTAAAACTTTCGGTAGTTGCTTTTGCTCCTGTGTATGGGAAGCAATAAAATCCTCCTAATCACCAGGCAAGTATCTTTTAAAAGGATTTCCCATAGCAGGTAATTAATTGAGAGGCAGTGAGAGATCTTGGATATTGGACTTGTCTCAGTCCATTCTGGCTGCTATAACAAATTACCATGGACTCATGGCTTATAAACAACAGAAATTTATTTCTCATGGTTCTGGTGGCTCGGAATTCCAGATCATAGGACTCAGATATGTGGTGTCTGGTGATGGCCTGCTTCCTGGTTCAGGGATGGTCATCTCCTTGCTGTGTCCTCACATAGAGAAAGGGGTGAAGGGCTTCTCTGGGGTCCCTTTTATAAGGGTGCAAATCCCATTCATGATGGCTCCACCCTCATGATTCAGTCACCTCCCAAGGACCCCATGTCCAAATAGCATCACACTGGGGGTTAGGTTTCAACATACGAGTTTTTGGGGGACACATTCAGTCTATTGCAGAAGTCAAACAGATTTGGGACTGTCAAAGAAAACATCCTATTTGTTGCTATTATTGGCACTTCATTTTCTGGAATAAAAAAATTCCAAGTTTTTGCTAGGAAAAAAGGATAAAAATGGGACAGCAGTATACCCAGGAGATGAGAAAAAGATGAGAAAGCAAGAGCTTAGGACTAACTTGCAGTCATCAAAGAACTGATTTCTATTCTTGTATGAAAGTGACCTAAGACATTTTTTTTTTTTTTTTTTTGAGATGGAGTCTCACTCCTGTCGTGTAGGCTGGAGCCTCTCTCTGCTTTCATAGAGTTGAAGAAAGTTAAAGCCTTTCTCTGGCTGCTTTGCTTGTCTATCCAGACCACTTAGATTTTCTCTGTATCAGTAGTAAGGCTGTTTTGCTTTCTTATCAATAATTCATGTGTTCACTGGAGTAGCACTTTTAACTTTCCTCAAGAATTTTACATTCATAACTTGGCTAACTTAAGCACAAGAGGACTTTCAGCTTGTCCTGGCTTTTGACATGCCTTAATTACTGAGCCTAATCATTTCTAGGTTTTTATTTAAAGTGAGAGATGTGAGACTCTTCCTTTTACTTGACACTTAGAGTCCATTGTAGGGTTGTTAATTGGCCTAAATTCAATATTGTCTTGTCTCAGGGAATAAGGAGGCCCCAAGGAGAGTGAGAGAGTCATGGGAACAGCTGGTTGGTGAAGCAGTCAGAACACACACAGCATTTACTGATTAAATTTGCCATCTTACTAGCCTGGGCAATATGGCAAAAGCTTATCTCTACTAAAAATACAAAAAAATTAGCCAGGCATGGTGGTGCATGCCTATAGCCCCAGCTGCTTGGGAGACTGAGGTGGGAGGAGATCACCTAAGCTTGGGAAGTTGAGCCTGCAGTGAGCTGTGATCATGCCACTGCACTGCAGCCTGGGTGACAGGAGTGAGATGCTGTCTCAAAAAAAAAAAAAAGTTTATTCTCTTAGAGGGGCGTGGTTTGTGGCAAAAACAAATCTGTGGCAAAACAATGATATCAAAGATCACCGATCACAGATCAGCATAATAGATACAATAACAATGAAGAAGTTTGGAATAGTGTGAGAATTACTGAAATGTGACAGGAAATGAGTATATGCTGTTGGAAAAATGCTGCCGATGGACTTGCATGATGCAGGGTTGCCATTCAATTTATTTGAAAAACAACTGCAAAGAACAATAAAACAAGGTGTGCCCATACCAAAGGTGCTTTTAAGAGATGAATTTTTGAAAGGATTTGAAAATCAAATGTGTTAATTTTGACTGCTCTTTAATTATAGATCTAGCATTTTGTAGTTTTGATTATGACACAAGTTATACATAAGTTTCCTGTCACTGGACTTGCTTTGAAAACCTTTTTTTGTTTTTGTTTACTAGGTCTTAACTTGCAGAGTCAGTTTAATCTGGAAAATGTCACTGTTTTCAATACCAATGAGCAGGAAAGCACCCTGGGTCAGAAGGTGAGGCTGATTTGACATTTTCTCACGTATTTGTAAGTTTGTTACTAAGATAACTTATGTGGGGCCAGGCATATGCTGTTTTTCTCCAAAATGAAAAACATGTTGTTTTTCTCCAAAATGAAGTTATCCATACTATTCTGAAATTCACTTTCTTCTTTTAAGGTTCAGATTTATCTTAGTTTTTTAATGGCTCTTGGTAAATCTCAAAGTGGATATACCACAGTCTATGTGTGTGGACACATTTGGATTATCTCCGATGGTGAAAAATTGTTAAGTGTTACAGTGTAGTGTATAATATCATTGCATCATCTGCATCAATTATGCAGATGTCTTCTTAGGATAAAATCCAGTAAAATTACTGGGTTAAAATATATGCATATTTCATATTTCAATAGCTATTGCCCAGTTACTTCTCAAAGAGGTTATACCAATTTATGCAGCCACTAGTGGCACATTGAGAGTGCCTGCCCTTTTCCCCCACAGCCTCACACCAACAATGTGAATTATCAATTTTTAAAAAATATTTGCTTAATTGATATACTTGAAAAATAAGTCTTCTTAGTTTTAATTTACATTTCCTTGATCATTATTGGTGTTGAGAAACTTATCATATGTTGATTGGAATTTATTTTTCTTCTGAGAATTACCTGTTCATGCTAGTTGTTCATTTTATTGTTGAATTGTCTTTGTCATTGTGTGCATTTCCAAAACATTTAGAACTTTATTCCCAGAGAGAATCTATTGACTATGTTTAGAGAAATGCTGATTTGAAACTTTCCACTGTCTTTATGACATTGTCATACTGTCAGGTAAAATTCTGATTGCCTTACAGATTAACTATAGGTCAAGATAGTTAGTGACTAGACTTCCCTAACTGGGTTGCCTAGGAATGTGTAACTAACCTATTTTTCTGGCATTTATCTCTTCTATACATTTTTTTTCAATTTAGCACACTGAAGATAGAGAAGAAGGAATGGATGTAGAAGAAGGTGAAATGGGAGATGAGGAAGCTCCAACAACATGGTGAGTTTTCAGAGCTTAAGCTTTTTTATTTACTGACATGATCTCTCAATAATTTACTGACATAATCTCTTAATAGTTAATTGTTGTTTAAACAAAAATGTAAATCATCTTTAAATTCTTTCTTTTTCATAAGAGGATCAAGCTGTAAAAAATTTAAAAAATTAATAAAAATTTCAAGAAATCAAAAAAAAAATAATTTATTAAGTATCCTCTCTGGAGTGAGGATATAGACAAGGAGGAAGGAAATTATTAGAACTTTCTTTCATTTGTAATTTTCACATATATTACTTAAAATAATAAATCCTGAATCATTAATGGGCTTTATCTGCTGCTTTCTGTATTAGGTGCAGACAGTTCATTATTTACATAGCTTATCCTATGTATAATCCCAGCATTTGAAAAGCCAACCACAGGCAACCTTAGGAGTTCCTCCCCTTAATCCCTTCCATTAAACTTCTGGACCCAGTGCCTGTGTGTATTAGGCTAACTTTTAATAAAATAGGCAGGTTAAGAATCCTTTCTCTCCCTTTGCTCTTAACACTGTTTCTTATCTCCTCCTCTATAGCTCTGTGCTTGCTTTCCAAAAGCAGTCCTCAGTGGCATAGATAGGTTCTTAGAAACTGTAACTTTAAGTGAAATGATGTATAATGAAACAGATTTTCCCATAGGCTAATAAACAAAAGTTAAGTTCCTATGGCTTATTTCTGGTCACAGAAACATCACTAAACTTTTAAATAAAGATCAAAATGCTTCTGTTATTAAACATTGAAATAAATGTGAGCTATACATGTATTTGAGAAAGATTAATAAAAACAAGTAAGATAATTATTTTCCTAGTTATTCCAGTTTAAGGTTGCAAGTGGCCAGAGGCTGTCATGGCAGCTCAGAGCACAGGGCAGGAACCAGCCATGACAGGACACCATCCCCTTACAGTGTACGTACTCACACACCCATACTCACTCATCCTGGAACCATTTTGACATACCAGTTATTTTCATATACACATCTTTGGGATGGAGGAGAGAATTGGAGTACCTAGAGAAAACCCAGACGTGGGGAAAATATGCAAACTCCACATAGACCATGGCCCCAGCCAGGAATCAATTTTTTTTTTCCTTATCAATATTACAGTGAAATGTTGAAGGAAACATGGCTGTTTGAGGACCTGTCATAATTTCTTCCTAGTGCTGACTTAAAAGCAATGAGCAAGATAAAAGAGAAGGTGTTAAGGAAAATTTTCCTTCACTGACACTCTTCAAAGTGTCTGAGGTGATGAGAGTCATTAGTTGTAACTGAAAGAATTTCCATTACTGTCTAGAAGATTCAAACAGGATTCCTGTATCTGCCCAGGGAGGTATATTTCTGGCATCCCAGATTTCAAATTCAAACACATCTCCAGAAGAAACATTAGGAGTAGTGTGGCTCCAGGCTTAACTCCAATCTTCCTAGTCATGTGACCTGGGGCAGATTACTTAACCTCCCTACAACACAGTTTCAACATCTTTAAAATGTAGTAATGCCACCTACCCTCTACAGTTAAGAGGATTAAATAAGACAATTATCAGAAATGGTCTATTAAGGCACTTAGTTATCATTCTTAATTGTCATTGTTTGTATGTAGTGATAAGCGTAAAGCACTTAGAATGTTGTCTATTCAGTATCTAGTAGCTATTGTGATAGTTATTTTTTACTTACAGACCTATTTATTCATTATACATTGATAGAGTGGGCTTTCAGGGTCTGGTCTGAGCAACATAAGGGCTCTGGGGAAAGTTGGTAGGCAATAAGATAATGAGTCACCTGAAGTATAAATGGCCCAAAAGATACTGGCCAATGCAATTTTGTCTACTTAGATTCTGCCCAAGACTGTATAGATAATTCAGCCCTATTGGTTATGTTTGTAAATCACTTAAATAGGACTCAACACTCAGCTGCCTCTGTCTGTCACAGTCATTAGTGTTGAATGGAGGGACAAAATATATGAGGAATTACTTTGTGTACAGTTGTGTCACCAGATGGTCTTAGGCACTATAATCTACAAAGCAGAACACAGTACCCATATACCTACAATATGAAGTCCGTTTCCAATTTGGCTCAAATATACCAATAAAAATTTTTGTTAAGAAATTTCAATGTGTAATGTCCTATAAAATAGCTCATCATTTTAGAAAATGCATCAAGTTTTCCAGAGTATTTTGGTTAAAATAGTTACAAGACGTTCTATTTTACATAGTAACTGTGCCTCTGATTTGTTATTATTTGCAAATACAATAAATGGTTGCATTTGCTTTGTGTGGATAAACAGAAAATTCAAAAGTTTCTATAGAGTGGTGAAGGTGGAAGACAAATTGCAAGTGGGTTGAAAAATGAATGGAAAGGTAATGAAGTGGTGACATAGAGTATAGACAATTCTGAAGAATTTTATTCAACTGTGAAGGAAAAGAGCAAGGGGCAGCATCTAGGAGAGAGGACTTTAAATTTTAAAAAATATATTAATGCCTCAACTATAAGAACTGCCTAGCAGTAATATATTAACACTACTTTAAAGTTTGTTCTGTAAGACACCTCAGATACCCACCAAGCCAATTAAAGATAAAAGGAAAGAGATCAAAAGCCTTTACAGGTAGGAGATGATAATTAGCAACTTGGAATAATATTGTTATTGGTATCAAGCATTAAATTAGATGTGAAGTTCTTAGCAATTGAGACAAAAAGGGACATGTAATGGTTTCATGCTTCTCATTCTCTGTTAGAGGTAGCTTCATTTTTAAGAGTCAAACTTTCCTGATACTACATTTCAAGAGGTATTTATATATTATTATTATATAATGTAACTTAGTAACATTGTGTGTGTGCACGCACACATGCACCTCAAAAATATTATCAAATGTATGGAACTATATTCTTCCATGGATATAAATAATTTATATAGTGCTATTTCTTTTTTCTATTTACTTTCACATTTTAAGGAATGTTCTTTCTGTGGCTTTTTTTAAAAAAACCCAATTCATAGAAAACCCAGAGGTGTAATCTTATTATGTAAATCAGTGAAGTTACTTTAATTAGAGAGAGAGGTTGATGTACAGATCATTGTTTTCCTAGTTTCAGAGTTACTAGGGAAGAGTTTAGGAAGAGTGAAATTAAACATGCCCATTAGATTCTTTCAGATACTGCTAATTCTTGATAAAAGCTTTGGCAAGAACTACATTTTCATAGTTAAAAGTTGTCAGATTCTTCACTGTTGATTTTCATGTGCTTCATATACTAGCTGTTTATCAGATACTAGCTGTTTTAAAAATTTAAAGAATATGTATTGACACTGTAGATTTGTAACATACCAAGATTAGAAGTTGAAATAGTGTCCGGGCATAGTGGCTCACGCCTGTAATCCCAGCACTTTGGGAGGCCAGGGTAGGCAGATCACCTGAGTTTGGGAGTTCGAGACCAGCCTGACCAACATGGAGAAACCCCATCTCTACTAATAATACAAAATTAGCCAGGCATGGTGGCACATGCCTGTAACAGCTACCCGGGAGGCTGAGGCAGGAGTATTGCTTGAACCCGGGAGGCAGAGGTTGCAGTGAACTGAGATTGTGCCATTGCACTCCAGCGTGGGCAACAAGAGCAAACTCTGTCTCAAAAAAAAAAAAAGTTGTTGAAATACTAATGCCATAATAAAGTCACTAGAGAAAGGGCTTATTTTTGTGATGCTAATTTGATATATACCATATATGGTTATCTCATACTAGTGCTTCTTAGGATATATATTATTAGTTAGGATATAGTACCTGTGACTTTTAACATAGATTCAAATTAGCATTGGTTTAAACAACATAAAAATTTATTTTTTCTCCCCTCATATCAAAGTCTAGAAGCAGGCAGTCCAAGGCTGGTAAGGAATGCTTCTCAGTGAGATTGTCTAAACCCAGATTTCTTCTAAGTTCTTGTTCCGTCAACTCTTGGTGTTTGCCCTTTTTTCTGTAGTGCAAGGTGGCTCATTCTCAATCTGCATTCTAACCAGCAGGAAGAGGAAAAGGCCAGAGGTAAAATATGGCCCAAAAGTTGCACATGTCACTTCTACTCCCAACTGATTGGCACACAGCCATACTAGCAGCAAGATTGGTTGGGAAGCATAATCTTTAATTCTGAATAACCATGTGTCCTGCCAAAATTCAGGGGTTCCACCAGTGTAGATAAAGAGAGTCTATTAGGGTCTATGAGTTCCCTAAAATGATTTGTAAAAGTTCATATATTTGTAAATGTGTACTTTTCTGATAAATGTTATTAGATTCTGAAAAGACAAGCTAAGTTAAGAATATTTAGATGTTTGTAAAAGGATTTAAATGATTTATTTAATATAACATTTATTTTATTAGCTCTATCCCAATTGATTACAACCTGTATCGAAAATTCTGGTCACTTCAGGATTACTTCAGGAACCCTGTGCAATGCTATGAGAAGATTTCATGGAAAACTTTCCTCAAGGTGAGTTGCCAGTGACAGACTAGTAGAAGCCCAGTATTTTATAGTCAATAATAGAGCTAAAACTTAATCTTGTCTGACATACTTTTCGCTGTATAATTCTGCCTCTTACATTTCTATACCAATTTCATAACAAGCTAAATTACAAATTAATATTTAAACTGCTATTGTGAAGTAATGTATAAGAATTGGATATTTAAAAGTTAGTCATTACAACCTTGCTTTTTAACGATATGAGTATTGTCAATATAAATTGATGATATTTTGCAGAATACATTCTATCTTTACTTTGCACAAAATTATTTTATCTATCTTGTTGAAACAAAAATTCTCAAACCATGGTCTTGGGCCAGATTCAACCTATTGCTTGTAAACAAAGATTTATTGGAATACTACCATGACCATCCACTTACCTGTGGCTGTTTTTGCACTATAATGGCACAGCTGAGTAGTTGCAACTGAGACTATATAGGCCAAAAAGCCTGAAATACTCTCTGGTCCTTTACAGAAAATGTTTGCCAATCCTGTTTTAGAAGAATTTTTTGTTTTTCTTGGCTACTCAAAGATCAGTTGTCCTTTTTTGTTGTAATCAAAGTCTAAGATAAATAGGTAGTTCTCAAAGTAGCATGGTGTGTGTTCTGTTATTTCTATTAGTCTTTATTTTATATGCAAATTTTTGTGTGAGTAGCACCATCCAAATTCAGATTAAGTGGTTAGTGAGAAATGACCTGGAATTGTCTATTCTAACTGGACAGAATTTGATGGAATTTATTTGGTTAGTCTTTAGCACCAGAAATGCCTTAGAGTTTCCACAGGTGGTTAGACAATTTCAGTGGTAAATTTCTGTATAGTCTTAAAGTGTTCCCTTCTCTGTTTGCCCCTTACACAGACTTTTTAAGAAATTATATTTCTTTAGGAGTAGAGAATTTGTTTCTACTTTTACAGTAAGTGAAATATCATACAAAATAGTTTTTAATCCCACTTTACTATAATAATTTTTATTGTTGGTATGCTTTACAATATACATACATGATTGGGAGTAAATTCTAGGTATTTTTATGCAGAAAAGAAACAAATTTTGGCAACAATGTTGAATAAAGCTAATATTTTTATTTTGCAGTATTCTGAAGAAGTTTTAGCTGTTTTTAAGAGTTACAAACTAGATGATACACAGGCCTCAAGAAAAAAGATGGAAGAATTGAAAACAGGAGGAGAGCATGTATATTTTGCAAAATTTTTAACAAGTGAAAAGGTAGAAGTTTTTCTTTTTCACTAAGCATAATAAAAAATGGTCTTGTTTTATTTCTGTTTAGCTGACAGCCTTTCTAAGTTAAGTTGAATAGAAATGTTTCTTATTGTACTCTTGGTTAAAGCTGATTAATGTTAGTTTGAAAGTCCCATTTCTTCCTTTCTCAAGCAGGACTAATTTGATTTCAAAGGTGAAAGTAGTTCTACATTAAGTCTGTTTTGTAGACTAACTTTGGAATAAATGCAGTTTAATTACTTTCATGTCTGTATATTTTAAACATCGTTAGGATTTAATTTGTATTTATGAAAATAATATTTTATTATTACTTAGGTACAAGTAAGGGGTTTAAAACTTTCTTGTTAATCTTATTTATACATTTTAAAAAGTAAATTTTGTTCAAATATAATGCTACAAGATAATGTAAAGTTTCTAGTCAAAATGACACATTGAGTTTATGTTTCGACTCACTCCCTTTGCTCCAAACACATAGCAATGACGGGTAAAATATAAACAAGAAAACAAAAGAGACAAAGCTGGGCTTCCAGAAACAAGATAAATATCTTCATGGACCAGAAATGCCAAGTAGTGAGCAAAACTGCAGCCTGGGCCTGCTGGACTCTCTATCCAAGGCAGGTGGTGGTATCCAGGAGTTTGGCTACAAGTAACAGAGATGAAATGTGCACCATGTGGGACAAGGGGCCAGAGCCAGATTCACTTCTTGAAACCAAGGACTAGGGTGGAACTTTATCCACTTTTGGAAAGAAACTAAGAAAAAATATTGCCAGTCTTCTGCCAAGGGCTATGGTTTTATAGGAAGTTGTGGGCCTAGGGATAACAAAGACAGTTTTGTGTCCCTCTGCTTGCTCAGTGACCAGATATGTGATATGCTCATTATACTTATGAAGCAGCTGCTCCAAGAGGTCGTCATAAGACTTCTTCCAGACATCTGGACTCAGGGGCCCTGGTAGAAGCAGATGCAAAACTGCTAGACAGGGAAGAATGTACACAGAGAGAGGGAGGGGAAAAGAAGTAAACAAACATCCTGAAAGAAAAGGCTCCTGTTCAAAACTCTGATAAATTAGAATTCCAAAATCCATAAATCTAATGCTAAGAAGAATCACCAGCAAAATCAACTATTGAGATATACATATATTTATTCCTGATGAAATATATAGCCTGACCAAGACTTTCTGTATGTTTTGGATACTCAAAAAGATAATTGATGAGATAACATTCATTGAAAAGGAGCAAGAAATCATGAAACAGAAGCAGGCAGAAATGAAATAGAACAGTTGATACAACTAATTGGGAATCTTGGAAATGAAAAATATAAACCATTGAAACCAAAACACAACACACAGAATTAAACTATACAGTGGACATAGATGAACCAAGAACTAGTGAAATGAAGAAGGTGATGAGAACTTCGTCCAACAAGCAGCACAGACAGAATTTTTTTTAAGTGAAAGAGCAGTTAAAAGCCATGGTGAATAGATTGAGAATTTCCAGCATTTGTCTAGTAGGATTTCCAGAGAAGAAAGTGGAGGGAATGGTAGAGAAACTGGATTGCAAAGAATTGAAGGAAATCTCAAATCCTCAGCTTAAAAGTGTGCCACAACTGCCAAGCAGGATAAAGAAAGATAAATCTGTGCTTCAGTACGTCATGCCATAACTGTGGGCATTGAGAGAAAACCTAAAAGCCACTAAAGAAAGACAGATATACTGGGAAGGAACAGCAGTTTGACTGTTAGCAGGTTTCTAACAGCTATCAACCATTAATACCAGAAGACAGTAGAGAAATATTAAAGTGCTGAGAGAAAAATGACATTCAATCTAGAATTTTATACCGAGTTAAATATACTCAAGACTATTGAAAGAAAGACGTTTTTATTTAAAGACCAGGATAACTTACCACTCAGTGACCCTCATTTGAAAAATACTACTCAAGGATATTCTTCAGGAAGAAGGAAATTGAACCCATAAGAATGGAGTGGGATACAGAAGGCAACGGTGAGCACAAAAATTGAAAAATATGACAGTAAATTTACTATTGACTATAAACACAAAAAAAAAGCCATGAATGATTTAAAATTTTTTTAATTAAAAAATTTTATTAATGTGGAACTTAACTAAATGACAGTAATAATATGGAAGGGGAAAGCAGAGATGTTTAATGAGTAATTTAAAATTATGGCAGTTCTTGTCATCTTCAGGAGTAGGAAAGGAATACTGAATAACTTTAGACTTTTTATGTATATTGAAAGGGTAACCAAAAGAAAGCCAACTTTTGCTCGCTAAGAGCATAAATCAAAGGGAGGCAGGGAGGAACTTACACTACTTTATAAATTCAGCAAATGGCAGGAAGGGAAGGAAAAAGGAGCAGAAAGGAGGGGAGAAATATGTCAGTAATAACAAGTGTAAATTGATTTAATTTACCTATAATAAGACTTTATCAGATTGGATTTTTAAAACTCCAGCTCTATTTGTTAATTTAAATGAAACAAACAGAAACCTTTTGGTTCAATAAAGATTTCAAAAGTTTTCTTCTACCTTATGTGGAAGAGGAGAAGAAAATCCCAAAGCTCTTCTCCTTGCTTAACAAAGAACTTTCCCAAAGATGTCTACCTTTTAGAATGCAGAGGTGTCAGTTTAATATTATCAGGGCAAAAAGTTACAAAATAAAACAACCAGTAAGAGTTGTATACTTTTAAGAGTTACAGGTCCACATTTCTCAGGACATGACAGCTATTTCAAAACTCTGGATGTCTTCATAGATTCTGTTTTTTGTTTGTTTGTTTGTTTGTTTGTTTTAACAAAACACCTTTTTTTTTTTTGAGATGAGGTTTCACTCTGTCGCCCAGGCTGGAGTGCAACGGCACGGTCTTTGCTCACTGCAACCTCTGCCTCCTGGGTTCAAGCTATTCTCCTGCCTTAGCCTCCCAAACAAATGGCATTTCTAAAGATATTTTAATTATGAAAAGCAGCAGGATTAAACATTTTCAGATAAATCTCCACCATGGAATATTTGATTGATGCTTTTTGTATCATTCTCCATTCACTTTATCATACTTGGCTTTCTAATAGTGTCTCTCCTTTTCTGAATCTTTGTGAACTTGCTTTCACCAACAGTTAGAGCATGAACTTTACGGATTGAGCACTGAAATTCCATTAATTAATACCTTGAGAAAGGTAAAAGCAGCTTTGAGAAGTTTAAAACTTACCATAGGAAAAAGAAAAAGGCACAGAATTATACCAGAGAATGTGAGGCATGTAATGTTTTGCATCTTCATTTCCCTCTGTTGCCCCTTAAGCAACAACTTAATCTTAAATTTACAGTCCTTCTGTACATTCTTCATATTTTTTGGTGAATTTTCAGTGTTTACTACTTACATTACCTATATTCTGAAAAATATACATTTTATAAGCTTTACTGCTGCACTGAAAGAAGCCTTTGGCATCTCTATACCTTACATGGTGTTTTTAATACTAGGATTCCCAAAAAGGCCCTCACACTTAAACATATGCCAGTTTTGGGCCTGATGTTACTTTCAGGTTCTGATATACATTGGTAAGTCATGGGAAAGGTCTCGATTTTTCAGGGATATAGGTGCTATATTCCTTGCCAGTAAGAGCGAGCTAAAGTGAAATCTAAAGCTATGATTATTTGGAGCATAAATGTATAGCCTATCACTTCACTGGTGAGCAGGTTTAGAAAAGTGATCTTGTCATTATAAGGTTAGATCTTTCATCTTTGTAACAGAGCTTTTGACCCCATCCAATAAGAATATTATTATCCAGAAGCATTATGTTTTGTTACTTGAATCTGGTCAGACTTTTCCTTAGTCAGGAAATAATGCTTGGCAAGGATGATATAAACTTTTTTTTTTTTTGAGACACTTTTTTTTTTTTGGACCCACTGCAACTTCTGCCTCCCGGGTTCAAACGATTCTCGTGCCTCTGCCTCCCAAGTAGCTGGGATTACAAGCGCCCAACACCACACCTGGCCAATTTTTGTATTTTTAGTAGAGGTGGATTTTTGCTGTGTTGGCCAGGCTGGTCTCAAACTCCCAATCTCTGGTGATCTGCCTGCCTCAGCCTTCCAAAGGCTATGGCTCACAGGCATGAGCCACCGTGCCTGGTCAGATGATGAAAACTTTATAGTTAGAGATAGGCCAGTCATGTGGCAACTACAGGTAGGCAGAGGTTCTACAGATAAAATGGGTGTCTTTGTAAATTATCATATTTTCTTTCTGTTTTTTTCCCTCCCCAAGATGGAGTCTTACTCTGTTGCCCAGGCTGGAGTGTAGTGGCATGATCTCAGCTCATGCCAGAGATTGACACTGCAACCTCTGCCTCCTGGATTCACACGATTCTCCTGCCTCAGCCTCCCCAGTAGCTGGGATTACAGGCATGTGCCACCATACCCAGCTAATTGGTGTATTTTTAGTAGAGATAGGGTTTCACCATGTCGGCCAGGCTAGTCTCAAACTCCTGACTTGCGATCCACCTGCCTTGGCCTCCCAAGTGCTGGGATTACAGGCATGAACCACCACACCTAGCTCATTTTTTTTTTTTTTTTTGAGACAGAGTTTCGCTCTTGTTACCCAGGCTGGAGTGCAATGGCGCAATCTCGGCTCACTGCAACCTCTGCCTCCTGGGTTCAGGCAATTCTCCTGCCTCAGCCTCCTGAGTAGCTGGGATTACAGGCACGCGTCACCATGCCCAGCTAATTTTTTGTATTTTTTAGTAGAGACAGGGTTTCACCATGTTGACCAGAATGGTCTCAATCTCTTGACCTTGTGATCCACCCGCCTCAGCCTCCCAAAGTGCTGGGATTACCGGCATGAGCCACCGCGCCCAACTATATCTTCTTTCTTAAAGATAGAAGTTTCCCCTAGAAACAAAGTGGCATTATAATTTTCAAGAGGCATATTTTTGTGCTATCTAGAGTGTTATTGTAAATACCAGTGCCCAACAATATAGTTCTGTTGTTAGCACAGCAA